TACATACATACATACATACATACATACATACATACATACATACATACCCATGCGCATACACATATGCATACATACATATTTATTTACAAAACTTTACATACATTCGCACACAAACATAGGCAAACTTACATACATACACGTACACCGATATACATTTCAGATTGCATGGACATGCATTTATAGATTTCAGACTTACCTGTAAGCGCTACCATTCTCACATGGCTGGTGTATACTGTATTGTGATCTGCAAGAATGCAGCGGGAAGAGCCTTCTCCTTTTTTTGTTCCTTCTCCTCTCTTCTTTGTCTCCTTTTTTCTCCTTCTCCTTCTCTTTCTCCTTCTCTTCCTCCCTCTTTTCCTCCTTTTCCTTTTTCTCCTTCTCCTTCTACCCTTCTGTTCCTTGCCTCCTGCGCTAGTTCTTTTTCTTTCTGTGGTGACCACAAACAGTGCGGAAAAAATCCCAACACGTGTTGGACAAAGTTTCTGAACAATAAGGTCGCTCATATATATATATATATATATCAATTCTATTGACACCCCCCAATGTGATGAATAATCGATTAATCTGTTATTTTGGGGACCCACCCTCCCTCGCCAGCAACACTAGTCACTAGCATCACCTACCATAGCGCCACGTCCATTCACTGGCAGCAACAGCAGTGTCTACAATGAGGTTGCGCAACACGGCTTCAACGCAGTGCGTACGGCTCTTACACACGCCAGCGTTTACAAGCCGCAACTTTTACGCAGGCCAGCATTCACGCACAATATATTGCTTTAAACTAGCATTGACGCAACACAGCCTCCACGCAAAGCCGTGTTATATATAACAAACCTCACCGCACCACATGCTCTGGCAACCGCGCGCGCGTGACATACGACCGCACTTGCGCAGCACAGTTTGGCACCAGGCAATTCTTACACACCACGGCTCTCACATACACCAGTGTTGACAAGCCTCCACGTTCGCCACACCACTACATGTTTGAACAACCCCTACGACAAAAGGCACTTCTTTCATGCACCACACTTCATGCACCTCTCATATGTTCCTGGTACTTCTACCTTTCGCGTTTCCCTGTCTCGAAATTACAACAACAATAAAAATAAGTGTGGCAACATAAATTGCAATTCGCAAATGTAAGATCCTATTTTTTGGGGGGTACTGCTATTACTACTCACTCTTGGATCTCTTGGGATACATCACCCAGACATCTCAGCCTTTGCGGAAGTATTGGTTACGTAATGGGTTCGAGGGTCCTTGTTGCCAGGCTTTGTTGGATGATGCCTGGCTTTATCAACCGGCTTTGGAAGGCGAGCCGGGTGGTGATGGACAGAAACACATCAATTAGTCAATTAGTCCGAAGAAAGGACAACTGGTTTGGGTTGGGTCGTTTGTGCTAGATTGTGTGGCAACAATGGCAGGTCTTGACGGTGATTAAACCACTGTAAAGGTTTCATCGAGACGTTTCACCCTGCTCTGTAGGTTTTTTGTTTGTGCTGTAATAGGCCAGGGCACACCGGCCGGCCATGCGGGACATCCGTGCAACATGTCCATCCAGGACATCCGTTGGTCGATTATGGTCGATTCAGTTTTGGTAGGTGTTCAGCTTTTGCGATCGCACAAGCGGCGGCCCCACCCAAAAGGTGGTTCATTGAACTCGGTTATCCCAGTTATCCCCGTTGGAGTGGATTTTCCGTGCCGTGCCTGGCCCCACTACCAGAAAAGTGCGATAAAGAGCGTGTATGCCCCACACAGATCTAGCAGACAGCTTGTACAGTAGACCGTCATCAGCTTCCAAACTCACTTGTTGGAAGCCATGACCCAACTGGTATTTGGAAAGGCCATGGATTTTGTTTGCAGGTCCGGCAATATATATATATATCCTTTTATATACCGGCCTACGTCCGTCCGTCCTTTCCAGGCGCCAAGATTCTGCTGGTGACAGAACAGCTGAGCCTCCTTCATCGCCTGACACGCGACGCGGCCGCGCTTGTGCCGTCGCGGTGCACGGAGCGACGAGCAGCGGCGACACCTTACCTATTTTGCGTGGGCAGACATCACTCGTGTGACAGCAACTAAGAAGGGAAAAGTCTTTCTACGTACAGGTCTGGTTTCTGGCTTTTCCAGTTCTCCGGCTCAAATTTTGTCATGTGTTCAGTCAGTCCCTTTGTCAGAGGCATCGCTGGATTTATACCATTCAGGTGGCATTGCATACTGAAAGGCGTACCCTTCCAGCCGTTCCTGGACCGATGGTCAACAGCCATGCCGAGGCAATGTCGTACGATGGGCCTTGGCAGGCCAAGGCTGCCTTTCGGTGAGGGAGTGGGTATCGCCAAGCGACGGAGTGTGTAGGACGACGAGCAGCATAGCAGCAGGACGTTGACAGCGATAAACGGTCACAAACCCATACAAACCCCTATTTTTCCCCACATCTCTGTGTGGGGTTCTAGTTTTGTTGGCTGCCATCCCGCCCGCATCCGCCCTTCCTTCCTTCCTTCCCTCCGTCCTCCTCGCCCCCTCCTCGCCCCCTCCTCCACTCACTCGCTCACTCACTCATACTCCCAGAGCCTGTCATCCAGAGACTGCACACTCACACTCCCAGCAGTCTCCAGAGACTCAGTCACTCACTCACTCGCTCACTCACTCACTCACTCACTCACTCACACTCCCAGAGCCTGTCATCCAGAGACTGCAGAAGGGGCTGCGGCGCGCGTTGTCGCCGCTGGGCCCCCCTCTCTCTCTGCAGTGGCAGGCGCAGTACCCAGAGCCTCCAGGCTGCGGCGCGCGTTGTCGCCGCTGGGCCCCCCTCGCTCTCTGCAGTGGCAGGCGCAGTACCCAGAGCCTCCAGAAGGGGCTGCGGCCCGCGTTGTCGCCGCTGGGCCCCCCTCGCTCTCTGCAGTGGCAGGCGCAGTACCCAGAGCCTCCAGAAGGGGCTGCGGCGCGCGTTGTCGCCGCTGGGCCCCCTGCGGTTCTGTGCGTTACTGCCATTTTGATTTGCAAAGCAATGGTTGTGACAGGCTGCGAATCGCATTGTAATGGCTGCGGCCAGGATGTGCGCACACTGTGTCTGTGCACTACTGCCATTGTGATTTCCATAGTATTGGTTCTTGCCGGTTCGGAGTCGCATTGTAAATGCTGCGGGAAGGATGTTTGCGAAGTGTGTCTGTGCACTGGTGCCATTGTGATTTGCAGGACCAGTGTTTGCGCGGCATGCGAATCGCCTTGTAAATGCTGCATAGAAGTTGTTTGTGAAGCCTGTCTCTGCGCTGCTGCCATTGTGATTTGCAAAGAAAGGGGTCTCACGCATGCGAATCGCATTGTAATGGCTGTGGCAAAGATGCTTGCAAACTGTCTCTGCGCGGTACTGCCATTGTGTATGAGAACGGAGAGAAGGCATTCGCAGCCGATTGTATATTTGCCTTTTCTAGTCGGATTTTCGCGGAGACCAATGCTACAATGCTGCTACCAGGTCTGGGCCTTAACCTTTTTGGTTGATGGTGGAGTTCTATTTGTGTGTTGAACTTCGAGCTGGTTTTGGTTTGTAGAGAGATCGTCAAAAAAGGCGACGTGACGAACTTTGTTGAACTTCCGAATCTATACATATACGTCTAGAACAGATGTGCTTTGGTCTGTCAAGAGATCATCACAAAGAAGAATGTTGTTGAGGCCTGTATGCTGAGAAGTGCCGACAAGTCACTGCGGCATGTTTTGATAGCATGAGTGACTCACGTGGCAATGACTGACTCAAGATAGCAAAACTGATTGTGTTTTGGAGACGGCAAGACTCACTCCAAGTGCAGTGACAGAGCGAGAGTGACCGTCTGACTGTGTGACTGTAGACGGCTTACAGCGACGCAACGAACTGTTGTCAAGCACGTCCAACAATTTTTTGTCAGTTTGGCTTTCTTTGATCTCAGATTTTATATATTGTGGATATTGCATGCTAACTAGCGACGCAACCTCAGCTACTGCCATTGGCATTTTGTTGTGTGGTTTCGGAGGTAAGTCGATGCGACGAACCGTCGGAACACGTACATTCAATTTTAGTTAGATTCTGTATAGCAGACATAACAGACATAACAGATATCTAACACAGTGCATTACATACAGCAAGTACAGCAGACATCATTGAAAATCTAATATGATCTAACAAACATCTTTTCAGGATACAGTGCGGGATATCTACATCCAATAAATGTATATATATATATATATGCAACATTTTTTTCCACCCGCACCTCGCCCAGCCATGGGTGTGGAAATTCGTGGCTCCGTTTATCGGGCCAGGATTAAAGTTGCCGGCGTGAGATATGTGGGTCCATCGCGACAGCAGCTGGCAGCGGCCGAAGCAGATCAGCGACAGCTGGAAGCTGCGCGTGCTGCAGGCGCTGACATGGAAGCAGTCATCAAGCAGTTGTTTGCGTCCATGGAAGTTGATGCCAGAGCAGCCCGGGTAGAAGAGTGTATCGAAAAGTGCAAAGACAGTTTTCGTGCGCGTTTCAAAAAGCAAGGGCATACGTACTTTGGACCCCTTCGAACTGTGAGAGCTGAAGCATTGGAGGATGCCCAGACTTTGCTGGCAGCTGCTGACATTTCCATTCCAGCATTGCAAGCTGCGGAAACGAGATTGAAGGAGGAGAGTGGGCTGCCAGAAATGTCTTTGGAGAAGGCAGTGCTTGAAGCCATGTCGTACTGGCTGAGACAAGGTTCCACCTTGGAAATGGAAGGAGTTTCCAGGGCACTGAAGACGCGAATGCGTCGTGTGACAAAGGGTTCAGAACAAGATGTGCTCTTCGATGCGGCAAAGCTGCTAGTGAAGGAGCATCTGGAGATGGAGCATTTTGCTCAGCAAGCTTCTGCGGAATGGTTGTGGGAGAAAGGTGTGCATCTGAGGCTGGACTACGGCAGTCGCCCTCGTGACACTTCTGGTTTGCAAGATCGGTTTTGGCAGACTGGCCTGCGAAATCTGGGCAACTCCTGCTATTTGAACGCTGTTGTTCAGTGCATGGTCGCATGTCAGCCTCTGCGTAGGGATTTGTCTCAGAGACTGCGGAAAGGGCAGTTCCGGACATGCATGGAAGAACTGACGCAACGCCTGCAGAGCGAGAAGTACGATTGCATCGCTCCGTATGCTTTACTAAACCAGATCTATTTGACCAATACCGTGAAATTTCCAGCTGGAGAATCGGCAGATTGCAGTGATTGCCTCGAAATCCTGCTTGAGACTTGCATCAATGACTGCGGGTTATATGTGAGCAGTGCGGAAGCCACAGGCAGAGGGCGTAGGGGGGGGGAAACTGGATATATCAAACTAGCGCACTGCATGCGTGATGAAAGACACGTCATCTTTTAATTAAGAGTGTTTTGTCTTTGCTTGTTGAGACGCGCCGTTGCAATTTGTGTGCTAGGTGGCATCGAACACGCTGACGGTTTGTATATGATGACCAGCACGCCGATGGAATTGGATCATCGTGCAATCACTGTGGAGGAGGTGATGCGGGCGAACTTTCCATGTGGCTGGCCGAACTCGGATGCTGTCATCCTGCAACTGGACGGCAACCGTGAGGGCGCTGCGATCGATTGGACGCAGCTACTGGCTCAGTCTGGAAGAGAGGACACGGCAAAATATGACGGAACAAGCTTTGGTGTTAAGTTTCGTTTGGAGTAATCATTTTTTAAAAGTTCTTTGAGAGGGTGGGTTCTGAAGAATGCTCCTAGTTGCGACTGTTACCAGGACCGTCGCCATGTGTGCTACATTGTGACAGGTTTCGTAGAATTTCATGGAGGTCATTTCATTGCTTATGTGAGACAGAAAAGCGGCTGGATGAAATGCGATGATTCTGTTGTTAGTCGTTTGGCAGCTGGAGTAACCGGTAAGTGGCCGAGTCTGATTTTTCTGGAGAGACTGCGACGGCAGGGACGAGTCGAGCCTGCGGTGTCCTCTTTGGCCCCGGGGGCCTGGTTGGCTCGGTTGCCGGGTTTGTTGGCTGCAGCCGTGACAGGTGAATCTTCGGACTGGCAAAGGCGAGTTGCTCGCAGAACCGAACTTCCAGCTTGTGGCGGGGAAGGGCTCAAGACACACCGACACTGGACGGTGAGCAAGTTAGCATTGAAAGGTTCCTCCCGCACACAGAATCGTGCTGGTCGCCAACAGGAACGGACTGGTCGGAGCCGGAAAGAAAATCGTGCTGGTCGGAAGCAGGAACGAAAGCGTGCTGGTCGGAAGCAGAAACAAAAGCGTGATGGTCGGAAGCAGAAACAAAATCGTGCTGGTCGGAAGCAGGAACAAAATCGTGCTGATCGGAAGCAGGAACAAAATTGCGCTGAGCGGAAGCGGGAAGAAAATCGCACCGATCGAACACAGGAATTTGTTGGCCCACGAGAGGGTGACAGAAAGCGGTCACGAAGAGATGATGATCGAACGAGAAATGTCAGAGGCCGGCAAGAAAGAATCCTGGGCGCCGCCACCTGGTCGAACAACATGTCTGGTCACAGAACTGACAAGGTCAATGATGAGGATAACCCATTCAATCGGTTTGTGTATGCCTTTTCACTGCGCCGTGATCATGCAGAAGAGGACCTGCGTGAATGGCTACATGAACCAACGGTTGTGGCTGCGCAGCCTTGCTTGTTGTGTCAGGAAGGCTTCGAACATCGTGATGCTTTTATTGCTCACGTTGATGCCGTGCATGGTGGTCTCCAACGCTATCGAAATGCTTGTTGGTTCCTGGAATGTCTATGCCCTCATGTGGTTACTGCTCAGGAGGTGAGAGTTGTGTGTTTTACTGTGCTTGAAATTGTTTGATGTTCCTGTGTAAAGCACATGGTTTCCGATGCTGGGACATGTTCTTATGTACTCATGTTGATGACAGGTGAGGCACTATGTGAGCAACTATGCCACCTTTTTGCGACTGGGGGCCATGGATTGGGAAAGGTCTCTGGTTGAAGCTGTGTCGCAACCAGAAGCTTGTTTGGAACATGTTCTTCGACGTCGATGTGCCTGTGTTTTCTGTCCTCGATCATTTTGGATGGAAGATCTGAAAGATGTATTTTTGCAAGGGGATCAATGTTTCATGCAGAATCCGGATGCAGTTTGGGAACTCATTGGCGTTGCTCGATATCATGGGAGATGGCCTTTGATCCCTTTGGAGGCGCGATCAGATGCAAGATGTATGTGGTGTTCATGATGGAAGCCGGAATTGCAAAACGATCATTTGAATACCGTGCGCTGTACCTTTTGCTGTCATATTGTTTGAGATTGTTTGTGGTCATATCGTTTGTTGTGCTTTTGCTTTGGATATGCTTTGGATTTTTTTTTGAGAAAAATATAGCAGTTAACGGTCATTATGTACTATGACAGGTACTGGCGAGTCGACGTGACGAGCCATTTGTAATACTAGCATCTATTGTGACCTGCAAGGGGGAGTCGACGTGACGATCCATCTGTGATACGAGTAATGGATGGCTTTCGTGGTGATAGGTTATTATAATTGTGATTACTCCTCAGAGCTGTGATAGCGACTGTGCGTTGGACAGGAATTGGAAGCGTCTGCAGTGAATATGGGCACCAAGAATAAACCAAAGTTGGTGCTGTTGCACAAACGCCGTGTTTCGGAGGCAGCTGTTTGTGGGGAGGCTTCAGTCGGCATTTGTTCCGACTGTGACGCTGCATTCAGCGGAAAGAAGCCAAGTTTGTGCAGATTCGCTTTGGCCAACGATATGTGGTTGGGCCGCATTGATCCATTGCTGTGGAAAGCAAATCTGACGCACGAAATGTGTTTGGCTTTGGCGCGAACTGTGGCCACCAAAGTGGTCTTGCGGTCTGGCCAACAGCAGACCCAAGGATCCCAGAACGATCACCAATGGGATCATGTGTTTCGCCAGACGGGTTTGGTTGGTTCAGCAATTCTTAGATCGGCTGTGTCTTTACTAACTACTTAACATAATTATATCCTTTTACTAACTGGTTGTAACTATGACCTAACTATACCCTAACTATGCCTTAACTCTTTATAACTTATGTAAATAGTTAACATAATTATTAATATTTTATAATAATTAGCTAATTATGTTAATTTTTCTAATTATGTTAATTTTCCTAACTAGTTAGGTCCCTTTAAACTTGATTTTTCTACCTTACTTGAAAACATTGAAAACATCATATGTGCTAGTGCTGGCTTTACTTTTTTTCAAGAGAAGACCCCAAAAAAATTGAAAAATGTCTTGTTTCTGAAAAAAATCAAACTGTGGTCAATTGCAAAGAATAATGTGGAGACATGCACATTAGCCTGCCAGGGCTCACAGGGTTGTGACAGAAACCACATTAGCCCAGTGTGGCTCAGACCTTCTTGTTTCGAGATTTGCTGTTCATGTCCTCAATGCAAAGGGTTTGACTTGCTTTCCATGCTTGTGCAGTATAGCCCAGTGTGGCTCATTGTTTGCACCTGTGAATCTATGTTGTGTGGGCTCAGAGATCTCTCACACACTGTGCTGGAAACCTCTCCCAAATTGTGTGGCTCTATGGTGGAAGTCTCTCACACACTGTGCTTGTCCTACCGAAATGGCAAAAATATGCAGATCCCTGAGGCATTGATCACAGAGGACTCTCCAGATACAATGTTATGTTGTTTGCTTTAAACATTCCTGCACTTGCCCCACAATGTGCAAACATCATGGAAACCCTTGAGGACCAAGAGGGTTGCCAGTTCTTGAAGATAGCACCCTCCAATTACACCATCAACAAGTTGATCTGTGGTGCAGGGAAGAGAACATCTTCTTTGAGCAATGGTGACCGATTGGGTCAGCTGAAGGAACTGAGGAACAAGAAGCTTGCAGGAGGTGTGGGGCCAGAGGATTGGCAGCAGGAACATTGTGAGAAGGATGGTGGGCCTTCTGCAAAGAAGCAGAGAATGTCTCCAACAACAGTGGATATACAGGTTGGAGATGCAACAGTGACACTTTTGTGTCCACAGAAGCGGCCTCAAAGTGCAGACATCATGGTAAAAGTGAATGCAGACCAGCTCACAGCAGTTTTTGACTACTTGCAGAGTGACTGTGAAGCTAGCCTGCCTACCAGAACTTACACTCGAAGTGGCAAGTTCTCTAAGAAAAGGACTGAAGAGGAAGACATTCATGAATAGATCACCAGCACACCACACCTTGCGGCTATGAAAAAGTCACTTCTTGCTGCACACTAGCCCAGCATGGCTCAATGCAAGCCTGTGTTCTAGTATAGCCTTTGGTGGCTCACATGTAAAGAAACTACCATTAGCCTCCAAGGGCTCAACATACATGTTGCTTGTGCTGTGTTCTTTGAGAGTAGCCTTCCAGGGCTCACATACATGTTGC